ATTATTATTATTATTATTATTATTATTATTATTATTATTATTATTATCATCATTAATAAATATTACATACCTACCTAATTATGTAATTTGTCGCTCTTTCCTTTTGGTTTTTCGTTGTTCAATGATATAAATTTTATTTTATACTTCCAATTGCAAATTAGACGTTCACACATCACTTTAACTTTGACTATATTATAAAAATTTCTGTTCAACAAGAATGTAATTATTATTGCTATCATTCGATTTTGGCAAATTCTTATTACATTTTGGATTAGTTCTTAGTATAATTATCATCGGTCGAGTTCCTTTTCAGCCATTTATCACACGTACATTTAGTTAATTCTGTATAAAAATTGAAATATTTTCTTTTTGTTATTATAATAGATTTTTTTTTTAATCTCGACCTTCAATACTTCAATAACACTCTCGGTAGGTGACAAATGTTGCAATTTTAATCCCCTATCCTTGTTGGCTTATCTAAATTATTTTTATTGAGTACAGGTACCATCTCTTTTTTGTTTTACATTTTGAACACATTAAATACAACTTGTTTCGTTTATACCAATCAAAATTCTAAGGTCATTCCCATTCCCTTCGATTATTGAAATTTTTTACGTGAATGTGATACTTTATTTTAATGCTCATTTCTAGTAAAAAATTATTATTAAAAAAACTATTTTTATTATAATTTTTTATTTTTATTATTATACTTATTTATTATGATTTTTCTTTGTAACTGAAATTATAATCAATATTTTTGTTTCGTTTACATTATTATTATTATTATTTTTTTTTTTACATTTATAAGCTCAACAGAGATCAGACAATCTATAATTATATTACCTTTGAACGTACTTATAAAGAAAAAAATTACCAATAAAATTGTTTAGGTCTCTTCTTTTTATATATATAAACGTTATTTTGTTTAACCGCACGATGTCCTCACTATTTGTTGAATAAAAATGCTTTTAATTGTTTGTATGAATATAATGTTAAATCTATAAAACGGTAAAAACACAAAAACATTAACATTAAGACTTATGTTTTTTTTTTGTTGCGTATGAAAATTAGACTAAACGTTTTTTTGCTCAATGTGTGAAGCCAAACGGATTGGTTTTTATTATTTTTATTATTATTATTATTATTATTATTATTATTATTATTACATTATAATTGTGATTCGTGTTCACATAAACTATATAAATACAAATAGGTAGGTAAGAAAAAAAAACAGCATAATTTTACAAGCCTTGACATTATTCCTAGTTACCACTCACTAGGTGACCTAGATGGAATTCAGATGATTAAAACACTGTAGACTATTGTCATTATGAAAAAAATTGTATATAAAAATATTTTTGTTAAAAAATTTATATATATTTAAAAACAAAAATTATACCTATTAACCATGGTTTTTATTTATTTTTCTGTGTTTTTTTTTTTTTATTATTACTATTATTATTTTATATCTGAAAACTACCAATAAAATATTAATGAAAATTTAATAACTTGCTATTAACAATTACTAGGGGTAACATGTTCATACTCTGTAATTTGTACTCCGGAGTAATATTTTTTGCTTAGTATTAACAGTACATGTTGTACTTACATATGTATACCTTTAAACATTGCAAAAATTTGAATTGAATGTTAGTAATAAATGTGTTGAATACAAAATCAACCATGAAAAACTAAAAATATTTTTTTGAGGCAATATATTGGTATTTGTATTATTTTTGATTGTAAGTTATATTAGTTACTATATAAAAAAATAAAACCCCTTAGTACCAATGGATAGTAATTAAATTTGATTAATCAAGGGCTGTTTGTTTTATTTATTTTTGTTATTTTATTAAAATGAGAGTAGCACAGATCTATCTGTGCTTGTACTGGCTGTAACCGTATACTGTTAATGTTATGTTTTTTATTAATATCTCACAATTAAGAAAACTTCCCGATATCAACATATTGTCTGGATTGACATGCGAATAGGTATCTTATTATGAGTAATAAAATTACCAACCGATAAATAGAGTCTACAACTACTATGCTTCACGAGATGCTCTAAAAACTTAACCTAGATAATGTTAAAGTGAATTTTTTTTTTTTTTAAAAAAAAAAATTATAATATTAATAGCCTATTTTTAAGTCCATTCTTTCTAGCAGTAGTGCATTTGAAGGAACAAACGAGTTCTCCAAGTGACAAAACGTCGGCCGAATACATTTAGTATGTAAATCGCTGTTGTAAAATTGAAAACGAATTTATATCTTTATTGTTTATGAATATATTTACGCACTAACTAAAGGTGAACTTTGAAATTTGAACTGAAGTAGCAACTAGAAATCTTATACTGGTACCTATTCCCTACCAAATAAATACATTCATGGGCGTGCTCAGGGGGGGTTGGGGGTTCAACCCCCCCATAGATATTTGATAAATGTTTAATATGTATTAACTACTTACATATAATTATAATTATTGTACTTACCAATTTTAAAGTTTTTATTTTATAACAATTTATTTATGTATTAGGTATTATTTTCTCCTTATTAGTCTGTATTATGTGATATTGGTGATAGTAACTAATATTATTTTAACCGTGGTAACTACTTACTATCTAGTACCTACAATCACGAATCACAAAATATAACTCTCAAGTTATAAATTTATCATATCTCAGATTATTTTAATAATAATTATATAATTTATTCTTTAAATAAATTTGTTTTTATCTGTTCAACTGTGCAGATATTTTGAACTTTGAAATTGTTTTATTTACAATTAAATTGTCGCATAATAAAATTACGAACTTTTTTACCACTACATTTACGAGTGTCGGTGCTACTGCCGATACACTTAAACGGAAACACGAATTGGAAACAGAAAATAGTTAAATTATTAATAATCAGGTAAGGTAATAGTTTTGAGATTTTTGACTAGCAACTGATAGGTGTATACCATGTTAAAGTCTTTGTTATTTGCACGGTATTAAATTACATTATTCTTTAGCATGGAGCATAATATGTGCATAAAGTATTTGGCTGTCTAACATGTAGTTAAATATAATAGTTTAATAGTTATCAATATTCATTATTATGAATTAAAATTAATATAACTATAAACTTTGATTATAAATACTTAATGCTTTGGGATTATTTTTATTTTATTTTTGTATTCTCTTGTTTTATAAAAGTTGGAAAATATATTAGCTTGTTTTTTAATCGCGACTAATCTGATCATGAAAAAAACATATTAAAGTAGGTATTCAGCTAAATACTATTGCCTAGCATGCATCTTTCCATGCACTGCATCAACAATTATATTTTTAGGTATTAAAAAATGTATGGTCAGTCACTTCCAGAAAATTACTTGTTTCCATTGCTTAATAATAATATCAAGAGAAATATCAAATTTCAGCATCGTTAACTGTATAAATTTAATTGGTTATCTTATTCCGAAAAACTGGAAGGAGCTTTTTGCAAATATTGTGTAATCTTTGCTAAATTTTGTGGTAAAGGATCTCAAGAATTAGGAAGTCTTGGGAAGTGACGCAGTCAGGGGAGGTGTTTTGGGTGTTAAAACATCCCCTTTGGCCTTATTTATATAAAAAATATAATGTTTATAACATAGGAATACAATCACTGGGTCGTGGTAAAATGTATTTTGTTATGCCATATTGCCATATTCACACACTTGCACGGTTTAAGATAAACTTTATCATAAATAGTGCACACTTCTTATCATATGTCATACCTATCATAATTAATTCAAGGGCGTATTTGAGTTGAGGCCATGGGAGGGGAGTGAAACTAGTTTTTCTTCAATACTAACTTAAAAATAATTTACAGTTCATTACCTACAGCTCATGTTTCTGTTATAATGATAACATATTATAATGATAGACTATTAATTTATATTCTTAATTATTTATAAATTACATTTTTTAAGTTAATGTACATATTATATTCAACAAAAATACGAGCTATGGGGAGGCGAATGCCCCCTTCCCCTCCCCCTCAAATACGCCCTTGGTTGATTCGCACTTATGGCGTTTTCCATTTGCTTAAATTAATTTACACTTCACTCAAACATAATATTTAGGTACACTACACCATCATATGGCATTTGCGTTATCTACTGCACTGGTGATAATAATTATTAAATTATTTTATTATTTTAATATTACCTTGTGCTTATACCATGGTTTAAGAAATATATATTTATATTTATGTATATCTTTAACCGTGGTTTACAGCATGGACTTAGATACTATGTCTGCGCAAGTCTATAGTGGGTTGTAGAAAATAATGCCCAGAAATATTCTTTATGATTACATGAGTGTGAAATCCTTTTTATTACATTTTATTACAAAAAAAAAAAAATTAAAAAAAAACACCCTTCTAAAAATAATCCATGCTACACCACTGATCTTGTGATTTTTGCTTTTCGAAATTGGAAAAAAGCTTTAGAAGCAAATATACTTATTAATAAAAACTAAATTGTTCTCAAATTTTTGACGTATCATACTATGATTAATTTTTAATATATTCATTAAAATTAATCACAATAAAAAAAAAGTATTTGAAAAACACTCAGAACATGAATATCACACGCATTTTTTATTAAAAAGTGAACACTTCTTAAATTCATTTTCAAGTGAAAAACCAAACATTATTGCACAACAGTGCAAAGTCCACATATTTTCAGGGTGCAAACAATGACATCATCTGGAGAGGGTGGGGGAAACTCGTGCATTTGCCACATAGTTCATCTATTCTAAAGTCGGTACATCATCAAAATATAAATACGTTTTTCACAAACCCATTGACGTGCTGTGAACCGGAAAAATATATAATATTAAAAATGAAACACAAGTCCAACACCGACTAATGAAATCCACCACTGTTTATTAATACGCAGGTCAGGTCGACAATTTAACAGTTTATAGACCGTTGAAATGCG